TTTATCAATTAAATCATTATGAGACGACCCAGCTCGCCCCCTGTTCTTCGTTGGACAGCGCATTCCTTCCCAGGCATTTTGTGCATTCTTAACGTTCTCACTGAAAGCCTTTGTTGTTCGTCAAGGACGCAGCTAAATTATGTAGGCATTTAAGACACGCATTGATTCGAAAATCCAGATTGGCTTTGTTATCTTTTGTAACTGAGAACGATAAATGACATACGAGTTATCATTTCTGTTTTCTATATTCATTTTGTACAACATTATGTCAGTGTCTAGATTCCGAAACCAATAATCGAATGTACGATAGAAAACAGACTCCCATCAGCTACCATATCTTCCCTGTCTTTTTTAAAGGAACGTAGTCGTTTACTTGAATCCGTTCTTCACACAAAGCCGTGTTGCAGACGTCGCTCTGGCGGCCGCACCTCGTGGCCAAGGTCTATATATGTACTTATAATAGACCTTGCCCGTGGCTTCCCAGGCGCGTCTGAGGCGACAGAAAAGAGGGCTTCACGTGGCACGCGGTCGGCCTTGCCCTCAGACACTCTCTTGGATGTGAATGGTACAAACTTTGCAAGGTACGAACTGCTCTGACCGAACCGCGTGCAACGGATGAGCATTATTAGCAGTGTAAGTCGGGCCACGGACTCTCCATTCGTAGTCAGGTATCCAAACCCCACCTTTTTCCCATGTCACTTTTGCAACAGGTCAATCTACCTGACAAAATCCCAGGTAGGTTATCATACAGATTTCCCAGACCCTGATCATAGTTATGAATGATTACAGAAAAATAAAAAAAAATACCGTTCCCGAATACATTTCCTACACAATCCCACAGTTTTCCCGAAGAGATTCCACCCCCCCCCCCCTGCCTCTTCGCTGTGGGGGGCAGCACCTTTGCCAAAGAACATCCTCTGTCCCATCCTACGCGGCGCCTCTCCCACGGGCGTCCCCCTGCCACCTCCCCCCCCCCCTTGGTCACCCAGGGAGTCTGACTACGGCTGCAGAGCAAAGGTAACCTCCCCCCCCTCTGGTCACCCAGGGAGTCTGACTACGGCTGCAGAGCAAAGGTGGTCCTCGTAGGGCGCCCCCTGCCACCTCCCCCCCCTCTGGTCACCCAGGAGTCTGACTACGGCTGCAGAGCAAAGGTGGTCCTAGGGCGTCCCCCTGCCACCTCCCCCCCCCCCTTGTCACCCAGGGAGTCTGACTACGGCTGCAGAGCAAAGGTGGTCCTCGTAGGGCGCCCCCTGCCACCTCCCCCCCCTCTGGTCACCCAGGGAGTCTGACTACGGCTGCAGAGCAAAGGTGGTCCTCGTAGGGCGTCCCCCTGCCACCTCCCCCCCTCTGGTCACCCAGGGAGTCTGACTACGGCTGCAGAGCAAAGGTGGTCCTCGTAGACCTCCCCCCCCCCCACCCAGGGAGTCTGACTACGGCTGCAGAGCAAAGGTGGTCCTTAGGGCCGCCCCTGCCACCTCCCCCCCTTGTCACCAGAGTCTGACTACGGCTGCAGAGCTAAGGTGGTCCTCGTAAGGGCCCCCCCCCCCCCCCCCCTTGGTCACCCAGGGAGTCTGACTACGGCTGCAGAGCAAAGGTGGTCCTCGTAGGCTCTAGTCAAGTAAGCCCCCTCTTGCCAGCTGAGGTCGGAGGGCGACTATAGTGTGTAGATCATGTGCAAATAAGGAAAGAAAAGTATGAGTAAATAGATCCTGTTATGAACTTTTGCGTTTCATTGTCCTGCCTTTGGCTCTTTCTACTTGAGATTTTGTTTCCATTATTATGATTTGCCACAATAATAATGATAATAATGATAGCAAAAAAAACAAAATAATAATAATAATATAATGATAATAATAATATAATAATATGATAATAATAACAAATATAATGATAATAATAAAATGATGATGGTAAATAATAGTTAATGATAAGGATGATAATAATAAGAAGAAGAAAAAACGAACCATGCCAAGATCATAGACGTTATTGAGACCTTATTTCTGTGGATTTAGAAAGAAAACGTGATTGTAACCAGTATTAGGATGAGGAATATGATATAATGAAAGGATAAGACAAAATAAAAAGATAATGGTTAAATAGTCTTTATAATAACTGAGATGAGAAGAAGGATACCTATGATGATATTAGTAAGAGCAATGAAAATAAGTGACAATAAAAGTGATAGTTGATAAAAAGACCATACTGATGACGCCGATCTTTATAAAAAAATATATATATATATATATATATATTATATAATATATATGATATATGCATACATACTAGTAATTGCAACATTGATTAAAACAACTACAGTAATTTGCCTGTCATGGTGATAAGGCTGAAGATAATGAGACTAAGGGCTGTGAAAATATTACTTGTGACAGTGGCAACCAATAAAGATAATAACTATGGTAATGATATTAATGATACTTCCAATCATAAGGATAAGAATAGTAATTATGATATGAAAATCGTGGTAAAAACTATAATAACATTA